GAGAGAGAGAGAGAGAGAGAGAGAGAGAGAGAGAGAGGTCTTGTAGCAGCAGCTTTTGAGACTCAGTGAAAGAAAGAAAAAAGTTGGCAGCATGAGGTTTTTGTAAACTTCAGCCTACTTCCTCAGATGCAGACTGAAGTGTTAGTCTGTAGAATCAGTACGTAGAGAGCTCTTGTAGCACCTTTGAGACTCACTGAAAGAAAGAAGTTGGCAACATGAGCTTTCGTAGAGTGCAGTCTACTTCCTCAGATGCATCCATAAGTCTAGGTCTAGGTAAGCTCCTGCCGCCAACTTCTTTCTTTCACTGAGCCTCAAAAGTGCTACAAGACCTCTCTCTACATAGTGAGTCTACAGACTAACACTTCAGTCTGCTTCCTCAGATGCATCTGAGGAAGCATCTGAGGAAACAGATGCATCTGAGGAAGTAGACTGAAGTCTGCAAAGGCTCATGCTGCCAATTTCTTAAATTTCAGTGAGTCTCAAAGGTGCTACAAGATCTCTCTCTACATAGTATTATGACTATGATGATGATGATTCCTGACTAACATCTCCAATTGTTTCCCTCCTGTTTGGTTTGTAACAACATCTTGCTTGATGAAGAAGAAGAAGCCCATGGTGGAGCTTCGAAAGCTTGCAACAAGTATATTGTGCTTTTTGGTTGGCCAAATAGAGGTATCACTGTTTGGTGGGTTTTTGTTTCTCCCTCTTTCCTTGTGGTGCGTGACTTCAAGGCTTTTCTGACTTACACAACCCTATCGTGGGGTTTTCTTGAGAGGATGTTTGCCCTTGGCTTCCCCTGAGACTGAGAGAGTGTGACCCACCCAAGGTGGAAGTTTCTGAGCTAATGCCCCAGTTGTTTATGTAGTACACTGAATTATTGTCCTGTTTGATAGCCAAACCTGTCTTGAAGAAGAAGGTATGTGGAATACAAAATGGATCACTCAACAGGATCGTGCTGTAGTTTGTTGTTGTTGTTGTGTGCCTGCGAGTCATTTCAATTTACAGTAACTCTAAGGCTATCATGGGGTTTTTTTTGGCAAGATTTGTTCAGAGGAGGTTTGCCGTTGCCTTCATCTGAGGCTGAGAGAGTGTGACTCGGCCAAGGTGGCAAGTAGGCAAAACTTGTTCTGATGTGCCATCCTTGTCAGGTGACTTTGGAAGCAGATCTTGCTGCTGTTGTTCTTGTGTGCCTCTTAGTTCCCAATTTATGGCAACCCTTCAGGCGAACCTATATCACAAGTTTTCTTGGAAAGATTTGTTCAGGGTTTTGGTTTGTTTTTTTTTGCCATTGCAAGCTGAGAGAGTGTGACTTGCCCAAGGCCACCCAGTGGGCTTCCATGGCTGAGCCGGGATTCGAACCCTAGTCTCCAGAGTCACAGTCCAGCGCTCAAACCACTACACCACACAGCCGTAGGGGAAGGCAATGGCAAACTTTCTCTGAACAAAACAAACACCACACTGGCTGTGCCTTGGAGGCTTCATGGGATGGAAAGCAATCCTGACACACACACACATGATCCATCTTGCAAGGAAGTAGCCTTTGCAGTTTCAAAAATCCCATCCAGGAATCTTTTGCTAGGCTCAAAAGTTCAACTTCTGCAATGCATGATCCTGGCAGAGCGATGGATTTGGGAAAGACTGAAGTGTGAGGTTTGGAAGGAATCATCATCATCATCATAGTCATAATACTATTGTTACTTTCTCCAACCAATGGATCCCACTTTGGCTATTTATTTGTATTAGTGTTATTATTTTGATAAACGTATAATCTTTCCCGTAGCTTCAAGATACAAGGTACCTCACAAAAATTAAAACAGATACATTCCTTCTCTGTTCCCTCATTATTGGTCATTATTGTTACTCATATTCCACTTTCTCTCAAAACTGGGACTCAGAGCAGCTTATAATTTAAGGAATAAAGGAATCAATGAAAAAGTAATTAGAGCACCATGCATAAGGGGAGAAGGAAAGGGCTGAGGGACACCACACTTCATGCTGTGTGCCTTCAATTGTTTCTGACTTATGTGAAGGGGTTTTCTTAGCAAGATTTGTTCGGAGGAAGTTTGCCTTGCCTTGCCTTGCCTTGCCTTGCCTTGCAGCTGAGAGACTGTGACTCGCCCAGGGTCACCCAGTGAGTTTACATGGCCAAGCCAGGTTCCCAGGTTTGCCTTTGCAAGTAAAGGCTCAGAGGAATTGCCCAGTACTGCGTGCCTGGAGGATCACAATTTGTTGTTAGTCTCCCTAGTCATGTTTGACTTCTCATGGGGTTTTCTTGGCAAGATTTGTCCAGAGGTTTGCCATTGCCTTCCCCTGAGGCTGAGAGAGTGTGACTTGCCCATGGTGGGTTTTTAAAGATACTTTAAAGCCTTAAAAACCAATGGGAAGGGAAGCTTTGTCTTCCTTGGGATGCCCTGTGTGTGTGTGTTTTCCTGCGTCTCCCCTTTGATCCAGATGCCAGGCGTAGAGGTGAGCCTCCTTTTGTGTCTGTTCGCCTCCCTCCATTGTGTGGCATTTAGGTCAGTAAACTGAAAAAGCATTTTTTTTCTTTTTCTTTTTGGCTCAGTCCCCATGGAGCACATCTGTGGCGCCAAGTGCCAAAAGAAAAGCACCAGTTTTTCTTCTTCTTTTTTGCAGTCTCGTTCTCCTTGGGCAGAAAAGTCCGCCAAAAAGTTTGTTTTAAAACCAGGACCTGGCGGAGGGCCTCATGCAAGGGGCTGGAATGTCCTTGTGCAAAACTCACACACAAACAAAAAAGTGTGTGCATTTGCCGCTGCAGGGGTCCCAGGAAAAGGCTTTTCCATGCCAGCAGAGCAGAAGGAAGAAACAGATGTGTGTGTCTTGGGGAGGGTAAGGAAGAGAGATGGAGGATTTATTTCATTTTGGTCCATTTCCTCTTTTGTCTTCTTCTTGTCCATGTTCTAATGTTGTCCAGATGTTGCCCCCTTTTTTCTATTACAGCTTATAAGTCATCACCAAAAATGCTGGGGGGGGGGGTGGAATCCGAAATCCCTAAAGCTCTGGATTTGAATCTCAGCATTCCTGTTGTTCTAATGCTTTTAATGTGGGTTATATCTGAGAGACAGTGTGGTATAGTAGTTTGAGTGTTGGGGCACATCTACACTGCAGAAATAATTTGGTTTAACACCACTTTAACTGCCATGGCTCAATGCTGTGGAATTCTGGGGACTGTAGTTTGTTGTGGCACTAGAGGAAATAGACCAAACAAACTACAACCCTTAGAATTCCATAGCATTGAGCCATGGCAGTTAAAGTGGTGTCAGATCAGATTATTTCTACAGTGCAGATGCAGCCTTGGACTAGGATTCTGGAAATCAGGGTTCAATTCCCATTTGAGCATTAAAACCCACTGGGTGACCTTGGGCAAGTCACACACTCTCAGCCTCAGAAGATGGCAATGAAGAAACTTGCCCAGAAAACCCTATTATAGCTTCACCTTAGGGCCACCATAAATAAAAAAATGACTTGGAGGCACACAACAACAACAAGATATCTGTGGTAGCAGTGCTAGAGATATTTTATTATTTCATAAATATTCTGTCAGTACCTTTTGGGGATGTCAGTCATATAAAATTTGCTTACTTGCAGAAACTGGGAATCATGGGTTTTTTGTTATTTTTAAAAATATGATTCAGATAATGAAACACTTTGAAACTCCACTGTTGTAAGCAAGAGAGCCGTCTCCCTGTTTTGAAACTAATTTTTAATTAATAATACCTGTCTGTGCCAGAACAGTCTTCAGGTACTCAACCCTTTCACAGATGTGCTACACCAAAAATATGCTTGTGTCCCATTGAAATGAATGCTTCCTAAAACTCTGAAAACTATTTTATTGTGGCACCAGAGCTCTCTGACAGAGAAGGCTCAATGTCTCAGAAAAAAAAACAAAAAACAATTCCCATGATTCCCTAGCACTAACCCTAATCCTAAAAGTGGACTCAATTTGCACTATTTCTGGCAGTCTGCAACCCCTCTAAATTTATTTAATGTAAAGTTGAGTTTGTCTGTGTGTTCACTCTCAGTTAGAGATTATCTGCCTTCAGAACCAGTATACTCTTTGAGGGTTAGGGATATTGTGAAAGTATGAATTTGTTTAACATGGAAGTTTTCAGAAATGGACTCTAAAGCCTACCTGTTCTCAAGGTCACTCGTCCCCGAGATAGACTTTCTGTGAGTAATGACTCCACTGGTGCATGATGGCTTGTAAAGTTGAGGTAGTGTAGGTAGCAAATCTATATGGAAGTTTATAGCACTCTGTTAAAGCTCTATAGGTGAGCCTGAATTAAACATTAGCTTCTTGTTTTTAGCTGCCTGACGGAGCCCTTGCAGAGCTGATATTCTTGAGCAAGGTATTTACAGGTGATTAAGTGTTCAATAAGTGGAGCATGTGACATTATGTCAGTGTCCTTTCAGGTTTTATGGTTTTGGAAGATTACAACCAAGGGCACGCTTACTGCAAGTGTGATTTTTTTTAAAAAAACTTTTGTGTCTGTATATGAGTTTGTGTGTCAGATAGAGATTAAACAAATTTACTTCTAGAGCAGGTCTGGCAATCTTATTTTCACCATAAATGAAAGTCTTATTTTGCAAAGGTAAAACTAGAGGAAGGGTTTCCTTGTGAAGGAAGCAATGTTGTGGACAGGCAGGTGCTGGAGGATGGGTTGGTCCTCCAGAGACTGGATTACAACTATTCAGTCCAAGACAGAGTGAGGGGGCCTTGTGATTCCACATTATTGGGAGGACTAGGCATTAATAGGTTAAGGCAGTGACAGCGAACCTTTTAGAGACCTTTTAGAGACCGAGTGCCCAAACTTAAAGGTGTTCAGGGCTGGGACGTCTGGGGGCGTGACTTCCACCTTTCGGGGGGGGG